CCCCAAAACCCCAAAACCCCAAAACCCCAAAACCCCAAAACCCCAAAACCCCATATAAGAACTTACTGGAAGAAATAATAAAGATTAAATTTATCCCAATGAAAAAGGCTAACTCTCTTATAAATAGTGGCCATCACAAGTCTGTGATGTCAGATATTGATAGCCCCAAGGTCTTCTTCGATCTAAAGAAAAAGCTCAGGCTCAAACCTAGAACAAATAAGTTTGGCGTAAGAAGGTAAACAAACACATAACTAATGAATTATCCAAATTTTTAAGAGTGCTCTCATGGTTGTCAGCCTATGTAGAGATTAAACTCAGTTTCCTAGATCCCTTTTCTAGGTTTACACTAATATGATGCTAATTGTGACTATATAGATTTTCCAAAAAGTTAAACTTAGGAATAAAATTCAACAAGAGAGCAATCAGAAATATAAGAAACATTAAGAGTCCTCCTAAAATGAACAGGACGATGAGGCTCAAAAAAAGAAATCAATCAGTTGATGTGGATATCTCTGGAGATGATCATCAAGACTCCTCTGAAGAGTTGGCAAAGATCCATCAGAATATGATCTTCAAATGTCAGGAGAAATTACAGCTAAGCAAATATCTGAATGGAAGGTTTTTCTCTCCTCAAAGACTGACTCAGAAAGCAATGATTGTGAGCTTCCACAACAGGAAACAGTCTTGATTCCTATCCAATGATTTCCTAGGACAGGAAGGGCTTCCCCAAATTAGAAGCTAGACGTAAACCATTAATACATTATTGATCCCTAATACTTTCTTTCAACCAATCTTGCTTTCCTGGAAGGATTTCATATTAATTTTCTAAAATTATAAGCCTGGAAAGGCTCAGCTGGGAATAAGAATTTGGGTTTATTAGTCATAATCTGCTCTAAACCCCAAGAAAATGCTTATAAAATTCTACAAAGGGCTCCAGAGCAGCCACTCTTCCTGTTAGCTCATGAATATTTTCACGGGATAATAAATTTTATCAAAATCTCCATATTTTCTAAAATTTTTGAAAAACTTATCAATACCTCCCATTTCAAGGATGATAAGGATATGAAGATGTCAAACATATTTTTCAGAGAAAATGGAATAGTTATGAGGACTAGTAATTTCAAAGAAGGATTCTACAAGAGAAAATTCCTTTGTTACTACTCCAAATTAGCGATATTTTGGAGTTTTACCTCCTCTTTGCAAATACGAGTGACAATTCATTGACTAAATAGTGTAGTATTTAAGTTATAATTCCTACATTATCTGAACTATAGTAGTGGCGTTCATATAATAATTTCTACTATTATTGCCTAATTTCTTAGCATTTGGGAAAGTACGATCCCTTCTGAATAAAGAGAATTTCAAAATTTTTGCTAGTTGTATCCCTGATATATTTTCTTTGAATAAAAATCTCTGCTAAAGTTTTTACATCTAAGCTGGGGTGGTTTACATTAGTAAAGCTGTGATAAGAAATCAGGTAATTCATCTAGCATTAATATATCGAAATATTTGATATTTTTTGTTTAATGGCAAACGAAAGCATTGCAAGCCTCTAAGAATACATTAAATATGATTATATAGCCTAAATCTCCCTATTTAAAACTATTATCAGCTTGGTACTAACCTACAAAGATCTTTATTCTTTGGCTGACAAAGTACTTACTATTCAGCCATTTATGCGATTATTGAATTCTTGACTAAAATTTTGAAGAGCAGATTTGAAAAGAGCATTTTTGTTTGCAAAAATAGCTCACTTCTTTCCTATTTCGACACTTCAACATAAAGCATGAAGACAGGAGAGATATAGAGAACCAACTAGGAAAAATAGCCTTATTGCAGTACATGGCCAGGACTAGGTGGTAGTATTGGTAAAACATTACATATTTAATATTTATCATAAGAATTCTTGCTTTCTTTCTTCCGTTTGACATCTTTCAACACCAAAATATTAATTTGCAACTTATAGTTTTGCGAATAAAGTAAATACTATTTACCTTCCTGAACCCGATTTAATAATCTCCATATATGGATATTTTGGCCCTAAACAAAGTGCCTCCTAAGCTCAGTTGGTCTATTCAGAGTTCCTAAACAAGAGGCTGAGCAGCTAGCCTCCTCTGACCAATGACCATAAGAAAATATCTTCCTACATATCAGTTAAACGTCCTTGCTCAATTCTGGGATTTTTTGAAAATTTCGTTCTATGAAGCTTCCCTGGAAATAGAGACTTTCATAATATTTTTAGGAGATTTAGAAAACTCCAAGTTACTCTTGTGACAATTTCTCCCTCATGAGGTATCAATTTGTGGATATTTTCGAAAACCTTATTTAGGTGTATTAACAAAAGTTAAATTTCCTCCAAGAGACATTGCCAACAAAGTTTTAGGGCTTATTTTATTGCGAAAATAGTTGAAAATTTGCTCTAGTAATATCCAGGTTCGTAATTCATTCATCTTTAGGCACGACAATTTATTAATAAGGGTAGAGACGTCCAGCAGTTTACTAGAGTTACCAGGAGAGAGACTTATTATAAACTTCTAATAAGGTGGTAGGAAATAGTACTCATTATTAGATATTCTGAAACGGTTTCAAGACACTCATTGATAGGAAACAGTTTTCATAGTATTTTCCATAATTTGGGAGAGACTTCCAACTCTTGCTCGAGTGTTCGACGATTCGGAATATTTATGAAACAATTCTTTTGCGTAAAAGAAGATTAGCAAGGAGATGATTATTCATGTGGAAGAATTTTGTCAATAATACATTGACAAATGCTAGTTTTGACATTCCAAACTAGCAATACTAAATTTAAAAGAATCTTCAGTATCATTTTGTTACTGGGCAAGCAAACTCATTTAAAAAGATCTAAAAGGCAATTAGCAAGTTCTTTTTTACATAAACTATTTTCACCAGCCAGGATATATTTATGTAAACCAGGTCTATGAAAAAGACTTAGCATCCTTATTATGTGAGAAAAGGACACGAAAAGTTCTTATCCAATTAAGCAAGGATAGATGATATTCCCAAACAAAAATTGGCTATTTCTTACATAAAGTAGCTAACTAAACTCAGGATCCTACCGATATCCAATACTCTAAATCGTCTAACCCAATTATACCATAATACCCGCGATCTGATAACATTGAGTCTCTCCAAAGGAATCTTTTCCATACTGAAACACTCTTAATGTCCATTTCCTTTTCAACCATGTCTATAATAAAAGGGGTTTTGGGGTTTTGGGGTTTTGGGG